CCCCAAAACCCCAAAACCCCAAAACCCCAAAACCCCATATAAAACTTTCTCTACTAAAACTAATATATTAAAAAGTTATAACAAATATGTACCAATCTGGTATTACAAGGTTAAGAAGTGCCACCACAACTGATGGTAAGAGGCAAGGGCTCAGACAACCGACCCAAGTGAGAAAACCTAGCGTGAAGGCACCTGAAAAGAAGACCACTTCGCATTCAAGAAAGCTGGCTCAGCCTACAAATAGAGCAACTATGAGTGTGAATAGAGGGTTGAAGAAGCCAACATCTTCGAAAGTAAGTTTAATGGCCAACTATGCTTAGAACTCAGCTGATTTGTTTGTTAATTCAGCCATATAATTCATATAAACTCCCTCTCTCTTGTCAGTTACGTTCTGGAGCCTTAAAGCAACTGGGCATTAGAATACCTAATATTTTAAAAATTTCCCACTCTCATCTGCTAGAATTTTACATTTGGATCTCTTCGTCCATTTTTCAACTCTGTAGAGGCTAATATAGTCTTATAGGTACTGAAGCCATCAGGAATGGCATCAATAGCAAAACCTAAAGCCGAAAAGCTGAATAATGTATGAATATTCCGTTATTTTGAACATAGGAAGGATCAAAAATATCCAATTCAAAAATTCAGAAGAGAAATAAAAATTTTCCTGTACCAGAGCCAGAGCCGTTTAACCCTCTGAATGCCACTATTAATCCCAGGGCACAGTTTGCGTACAAAAGAAATAATCTCCTCGATGCAGGAGATAAAGAAAGCAAGCGGGATAAGCTCAAGAGAGAAAGAATGAGAAAAAAAAAGCAAGCTCAGAAAGCAGAGATGCAGAGTAGTGCTTCACAACTTAACCCTCAAAACACAGGTATACCTGTCATTGATCATACATAGGTCGATCAAACAAATCTTTAACAGATGGAAATGACTTTACAGCATATAGTTCAGTGCGATCTAATAAAATTGGCTTGACAAAGAATGGAGGTGGTAATATTGAAGATATTCAAACACCTTGTAAAAATCTTGATAAATATTCTACTATTGGCCCACAACATAAAACAGCGCATAAAAGCCCGATGAAATTAATATCTTACTCTCAAAGAAGGACACAATATAAGAGAAACACTAACATGACAGTCTCTCAGTCAATTGGTGATCTGAATCAAATCTCTGAGCGGAATAGAGAGAAAAATAGCACTTTGAGAAAGACAGATTTCCAGAAGCTTAGAGACAATAAGAAATCTCAGAAAGCAGGAATGGTAAATGTGACTCATGAAACAGACACAGATAGAGAACTTGCTCTTTTTGGAGATCTTGAGCTTAATGATGATTCTAGCAGAGGTTTTAACAGAACATATAGACAGAGAGCAACTGAAAGTAAACATCTTCGCTTTAAACTCGAATCCGATGAACCTGATTCTGCAAATAAAAATCCCTTTGATGAGTGAAGTTCTATTTCTGAAGAAAATTTTCATGAAGAAAACATTGAGGAGTATGATGATCTATCGACTCCCAAAGCAAACGTTCAGTTCCATACTAACATGATGGAATCTCATCAGCCAGTTCCTGGTCCTCTGAGACACCTTTTTCAAACTCCTGAATCAGGACTAGAAGTTATTAAAGAAGCTGAGGATATTCAGATTTCTCCTGAAAAGCCAAGAGAGCCACCTTTGAAGATGTCTTCGAAGAATCTGAAGTTTCCTTCAATGTCGTCAAAACCTCAGAAAAATTTAAAAGTTAGCCATAAGCCCTCTTCAAATCCAAAGGTATCTAAGCTGAGACCTCATTCAAGCTCAAAAGACTCCTTAAAATCAAAGATTTCAAGACCTAAACCCACCTCGAAATTCGGTCTTAAAACTCCTGGAGCCCCTTCTGCTCCGCAAGAATCGCCAGATCATAAGCCTATCCCTCAAAAGACCCCAAAAATTCCAAAAGCGTTACAGCACTTGCACAAAAGTTCTTCAAGCAATTCGAAAACTCTAGGGCTTTCCAAAGAAAATCAAAGGCTCTCTAAACCTTCTACCCTCGATAAGATCAAATCTGATTTACCTAAATCAGCAAATAAGAGAGATTTTAAGAAGTCAAATAGCACTCTAAAGAAACCTTCTGACAACTCTAAACCTAAATTTGGTATCAAAAAGACAGAAAAGGTGAGTAAACCAACTGAAAAACCCGTAAAGACCAAAGAAGAAATTACCAAAAAAGAAGAGCCTAAAGAAGAAGAAGAGCAACCTCAGCAAGAGACTCAGAAGAAAGTTTTTAAGAGAAAAGTCGTTGATGAAAAAGAGAAAGAACGCAAAAGGAAAATGATGAACGAAAGAAAGCTCCTGCTTAAAAAGAAAATATCAGCTATTAAGATTCAGAAATACTGGAAAGCAAGACAAAGGCGGAGAAGAGTCAAGCTTGAACATTTGAAGTATATGTCTGCTATCAGGACTATCCAAAGATTTGCGAAAAGGATGAGAGGGGTTATCAAGGCTCGGAAAGAGATAATGGAACACTGAAAAGCTCATGTTGATAAGGTTATCACTCTTCAGAAGTTTATCAAAATGTATCTGGTAAAACCAAAGAAGATTAACATTAGAAAATTCAAAAGCACTCTTTTAGCAACTCTTATTGGTTGGAAGGTAAGAAGAATACTTGCAGTATTGAAGCAAGATAAGGAGACTAGCGAAGCTATTGAACTGACCAAGCTTAGAGAGGATATTAAAGATCAGGAAGATAACTTATTCTTTAACCAAATTCTTGAAAAACTTCCGGAAAAGTTCGATAATTTTCATCTCAGATTAAGTGAAATGTTAAACTCTCAAAAGTGGCCTGAAAAGCCAATTACAAAGTAAGTGTTGACTTGTATTCGATCTAATTTTTCTAGAACAATAGTCAAAAAGCAATCCAAAATCAGCAGGAATAAAGAAGCTAGCAATGAGGAAGGTCTAAAACCAGGAAAAAATGCTAGAGTAAGGAAGGGTTCTTCTTTCCAAAAATAGTCTTCTGCTGTCTTGTAGACAACTGGTCTCTGCATAATTCATCATAAAGTTTAATTCTATATTTTAAAAATTGTGCTGATAGGGGTTTTGGGGTTTTGGGGTTTTGGGGTTTTGGGGTTTTGGGG